GAGACGACATCTGTTCCCTAACGTTGAAGAAATGCAACATCACCATACTTTTTTTTTTTAATATAACACAGAATTTTTACTTTTTGAAATAAAGTTATTCGAAATCGATCTTGTGTAAATAGGACTTTTGATTTTCTTTTTCTTGCACCCTCTGCTGGAGTATCTTCCTTCTTTTTAGCACTTGTCTTCCTCCCCTTTCCTGTCTGTTTAGTCTTCTGTGCAGTCTTCCTCCCTCTTCCTCTACCCCTTCCTTGTCCTTGAGGTTGACTTCCAGAGTCACTGGTTGTCTCCATAGGAACAAACTCGTCATTGCTGGAGCCCTAAATGGAGTAAAATGTTATTAGGCTCTTAGATTACTATCTATTATTATTATTATTATCGATGGTGAAATATTGATGAAGAATTATTGGTAACTCAATAACTACATGCCTACAGTATGTGTATTTACATAATGTATTATGTAAATACACATACTGTAGGCATGTAGTTATTGAGTTACCAATAACTCTTCATCGATATAATATCTAAATCCATTGAGTTGTATATACACTTTGTTTTACTTATACAGGGATACTACTGAAATGTGGGTTTACATAAATGGCAGTTACAGGTAAGAAGTACCCAGATGTATTGTCAAAGACTCATTGTTACAGAGTGGGCAGAAGACACAGAAGCTTCTCGGCCTTTTGGCTAAGATCAAGTGTGGCACAGGGACAATCTAACTAGCTAGCTACTGGGCTTGGACAAATCTAGCTCACTGTCAATAGTGCCTAATTACTTTCATCACTTATTACAGATAGTTATTGAAAAAGGCAGTAATGTATCATTGTCTTACACAGAAATAATCAAACTTTCATTGTCTAACTAGCTAGCCAAATTTCGTCTGTCAAAAAGGACTAATACAATTAGTCAAACTAATTTAATGCCAAATAACTAGTTTTCTTACCTGAGAAAACATGATGTAACTAGAAATGTTGTGAGAAGTGAGAATTTGAGAACCAGATGCGTCTTCACGTCGAGAGCGTAAAGTGTACAGGGCGCGTGCACGGCATTGGATGCAGTTACATAAAACGCCAAAAGGGGGCAAGCTAATGCAAAAACTCTGCCACTTACGCAATGCACCTTTAACAAACACTTATAACCAGGACTACAGCATATATCAATACATGTTTAATAATGTTGTAAATATATTAATATATATATTATTCATTGTATTTCCAATGGAAAACGGACCCAACACGCGTCGACGGAACAAATAGGATTGTTTCTATTTCGTCCGTCCGCGTCCGTTGCACCCTCCGTTGATGGAATCCGGATGTTGGAGGCAGTGGAGCCACTTCCATTCACCCTCATGGAAATAACGGAGACGGAGATGAAACGGACATGTTTGGACGGATCCGTCGTCCGTATCTCCATGAGGGTGAATGGAAGTGGCTCCACTGCCTCCGCATGCGTCCGTCCAACGCACGTCGGACATATTCCGTCAACGGAGGGTGCAACGGACGCGGACGGACGAAATAGAAACAATCCTATTTGTTCCGTCGACGAGTGTCGGGTCCGTTTTCCATTGAAAATACAATGGAATAATATATTGATATATGCTGTAGTCCTTGGTTATAAGTATTTGTTAATGACAATGATTATTAACAAACGTGTGTAATTTTTTTCATGTATTAATTTAAATAATTGTTTCCTGATCGTACATCTACCATTTATTTTTCGCATAATGTTAATACGTTAATCTTTACATACATCTCGCTCTGTCCCATGGATCTATTATAATAACTGGATAGGGTATTACAGCTTGTAGCTGAATAACTCATGTGCTCGGGGGATTCTCGCGGTACTGCAGACTAGGGATGTAAATCGGCGACCGTTTAACCGGTGGTTGACCGTCACAGCGTTAACCGGTCAAAGCTGTCGGTTAAAAAAAGGGGAGAGGGGAGGTCTCTTAATAACGCTATTTTAAGCCCTATGTGCACGAGCGGGTCTGTATCTAGCTGTGTGCGCCCATGTATTATAAACTCCGGGACGACTCTCACGCCGCACGAGCCACATATGCACACACACACACACACGTTCCCCCTCTCCATACGTAACATCCACACGCATCATCTTTCCCCTCTGTTACCGTCAAAGTTGCACACTGGCGCGGGTCAGAACTACATTGGAGCTTACATTTACACACATACACACACACATACACACACACATACCGGTCTGTCGCGCTCCTCTGTGTCACGGAGCCCAAAGGATTCGCGCAAATACGCGGCTCCAGTCAAACCACATGGAACATGTTTGTGTTTATGGTCCTCGGGATCAGCTCCACACACATCACTTGTATTTAAACTTTTGTGAAGACCTGTGAGACGCGGCTTGTCACTCGCTGCTCTGACCATGTGAACGAGCCGTCGTTTGCTGCTAGAAAGTTTTGGTATTAACCCGCAGCTCAGCAGAATGGGAAGATTAAAAAAGCAGTTCTCTGTGCGCAAAGGTGCCGAAGCTGTTGTGGGTTTTGGCGCCGCTGTCTCAACTCTGATCCAGTAGAACGCAGAGCTGCACTTATGAAAAGTACGCGGCTCGAAATGGCTGTTATTTCAAAGAACGTGGACTATTTTAAACTACGCGGTTAACCGGTTTCAACCGGTTAATGAGGCTCGGTGGTCGGTCATGAAAATTCATAGTTTTTTACATCCCTACTGCAGACCAGACTAAATTCACGTGGGCTACCCAGAAATTTTCCCCATAGAACTCAATGCATATTAAAACAGCTCAACCTCAGCTGAAAGAGAACCTACAGCTTTCATAAAGGTCGGATTTTGTGGGGATTTTAGTGTCCCTTGTCATCCTGAACTTTTTTTCTTCTTAAATCCTTCGGTTTTGTTTAAATCCACACTTTAGTGCCACAAATGCCGTTTTTCCACAGTATCATTACAGTTTGGTGCGACTCTACTCGGTGCGCAAAAGCCGAGTTCGCTTGGTTTTCCATTGAAATAGCACCTCCTGGAATGTGTGTGGAATGTGGGCAGGCTTCGTCATACCACGGAAGTAGTGGTCATACCACAGTGTAGTGACGTCATTTGCGCGCGACGCACACACACACAAAAAGCGGGAACAACAGCATACACCATCACAAACAATGGAGACCACCGGGATGTACCTTCTGTTCTTTCTGTGGCTTGTACTTATACACAAGATCAAGAGCCAGAGAAGAATCCAGGCGGCAAGACGCAATAGAATTGCGAAGTACAGGAAGCTTTTTGAAGCCGTGCAGCAGGACTATAGAGACGAGGATGGAGCCGAGGACGGCACAAGCAGTCTGTGCGCAAAACGAGCTGCAAAAAGACGTCTGCGGGTAAGTTACTTTTGCTTTGTAGCTATGTAATGTAGCTTGGTAGCAGTCGTCGTGCACAGTAATGGCTGCTGGTTTTCACGATTAAGCATTAAACTGTATGCTGTATGTGTTTTTCAGATGGCTCTCGTCTTGCGTAGCCGCCGTAAGCCATCGGTCTGGGCATTCAACCGAGCCTCCGAGTGATGGGACATTGTAGTCCCCAAATTCAGCAACGTGCAGTGGGTGCAGAATTTCCGAATGTCAGAAGAAACGTTGGATTTTCTGTGCCTAAAGCTGCGGCCGATTATGGAGCGACGAGACACTAGTTTCCGTGACTGTGTGCCCCTGAAGAAGAGGGTGGCTATCGCACTCTGGAAGCTTGCTACTGGCTCCGAGTACAGAAGCATTGGTCACCTTTTTGGAGTCAGCATAACAACGGTGTGCCGGTGTGTGCAGGACTTTTGTGCTGCAGCAAAGACGGTATTGGTCCCAGAGCTGATCCGGTGTCCTAACGAGGAGAAATTCAGAGAGATAGCTGCCTACAATGAGAACAGATGGGGGGGGTCCCACACTGTGTTGGTGCTATTGATGGATCACACATACCAATCATAGCACCACGGGAGTACCATTGTGACTACTTCAATCGTAAAGGGTGGCATTCTATCATACTCCAAGGTGTGGTTGATGGAAAGGGGTTGTTCTGGAATGTGTTTGCCGGTTTGCCAGGGAGTTTACATGACGCCAGGGTCTTAAGACTCTCTAGCCTGTGGGAGTTAGCCAGCCGGGGAAACCTCTTCCCTGCTCACACAAGAGACGTTGGTGGGGTGACTGCTGGCTATTACCTCCTAGGGGACTCTGCTTACCCGCTGCAGAACTGGCTCCTAAAACCTTTTCAGGACACCGGGCGACTGACAGTCGAACAGCAAGTATTTAACAGAAGATTCAGCAGAGCGCGAGTGGTTGTTGAAAATGCTTTTGGCAGGCTCAAAGGAAGATGGCGCTCTCTTCTGAAAAGGTGTGACTCGGACATTGAGCTGGTTAAGTCAATGGTGCTTACTTGCTGTGCTCTGCACAATCTGTGCGAAACTCATGGAGAGACCTACGTGACAGAATGGGACACACGTGTGGCAACAGTTGAGCCTGTGGCACAGGATGCAGAGGGAGAGGGCGGAGATGTTAGGGACGGTCTGATGCGTCACTTTATGTCCAATGCCTAAACATTTAATGTTTCATTTGCGTCTTCTATGGTTTTTTTAAACCAAAAATAAAAGCTTGTTGTATTTTACTTGTCTCTACTTCTGTTCCAAAAATCACCACGGTTATAGGGATTTACTGACAAAAGTAAAATGTAAAAGAGAGCTGGCTTCATACAACCTGTTCCAAACACCCCTCAACTCAAGGTTCATCACAACACACATGTCATCACAAACGTTAAGGGTATAAATGGAAAATGTATGTTATATATTGCTTTTAGGTTGACATAACTTTTAAGTCGTGTTCGTTTTGTGTTGCTAATGTTTCATGGCACATAATGTTCCTATGTAGCTTGGTAGCAGTCGTCGTGCACAATAATAGCTGGTGGCTATCACTATAAAGTCTTAAAACGTGATGAACTGTCATGTAAATTATTGATTTCAGAACAAAAACTAAATAGGCTACTTCTGGCCTAAGGGCTATTTTCCATCTGTAATCCCTGGACTGTTGTGTATTCCTGAATGGAGAAAAAATTAAACAGATGAAACATAAGTCAAATATATTCAAACAATACCCTCAGTCAAAAAAACAAAACAGATATGAACATGGCGGGTACAAACGCAACAATAAAAAAAGGAACCAGGGGGCAGTGAGAGGCAAGGAGAATTTGCTGTGAGCCATTTTCTAACCTGTATGTTGAATGGGTTATATGTGTTTAATTGGGGGTGCAATTCCATTCATTGGCAGCTTTGACAGGAAATATGGGAAAGAACAAAACTAATCATGACTGCATTCAACTGCATTATAAGCTGTAAACATGTACCAGACTACTGGCTTAAATGCATGACTGCAGCTAGTATACACGAGTAGACACAGAAATTGAATTCCAATATATGAATATGTAGATGTGTGTACGTGTATATTTTCTGGAGAGATATAATCTGATTACATTCTTTTCCTGTGGAATGTTTACAAAAACATTCCAAATTAGTTAAGTTGTGATAATCTCTTTTTCAAGTTTAGTTGCAGTGTGGAGAATATCAAAAAAAGTCTTGGACGTAAAATATCAGTTTTTAAATGTGCAAAGCGGGCTGATTTGACCCAACTACAACTTGAAGGTTAAATATGTCCAGGGAAAACAGATGAAAAATAGCCTTCTTGCCAATTCTGGTACATTTACAGTAGTAATGGCAGTCCATTTAATAAAGGACTTTTATTTTTTCACTATAACAGAGTGCCTCAGACTTCTCTTTTCGATATTCTAAATCTGCTTGGATTGCCCCGTCATTTATGCCTTCTACTACTCGTACCCTCTGCAGCACTCACCTTCCTTGCTTTAAACGTTTACAGTAATGTTCATTTGTGTACACTGTCCCTGTCAAACGACTACATGGAAGTTGAAGTATGATAGGAATTCCTAGCTTTTATGCATGTGTACAGACGAATGAAACAGTCTTTATGAAATCACACATTTATTTACAAAGAAAACGAAAGTGCACACGCATCTATTTACAAAGGGCAGAGAGGTAAAGCCAGTTACAATGGGAAATGTCAATTCTTGCGGTCGGTCAGAGCTTGGACCATCTGGGCCATGAGAGTGAACAAGGCAGTAGTCTCTCCGCACGGCCAGCTCGAGGTCTCTGGCCTCTCGGGCCTCTGCAACGAGCACCTGGAGATGTGCATCACGCTGTGCCCGGTTCAGCGCATGCTCTGCCCGATCCAGTGCATGCTCTGCCCGATCCAGCGCATGCCCGATCCAGCGCATGCTCTTCCCGATCCAGCGCATGCTCTTCCCGATCCAGCGCATGCTCTTCCCGATCCAGCGCATGCTCTTCCCGATCCAGCGCATGCTCTTCCCGATCCAGCGCATGCTCTTCCCGATCCAGCGCATGCTCTTCCCGATCCATGCATGCTCTTCCCGATCCAGTGCATGCTCTTCCCGATCCGCAGCATGCATCTCCCGCAGCACCGCCACCGTGTCGGACTCAAAGAGCCCCCTTCTTCGCGTTCCTATGAAGCAATAAAGCAAAGTGTTATTAATCGGCTTATTAACCAAACCAGTCTTGTGAAAACATTTGGAGAAATTATGGGGCCATACATTTTCTTTAATGCCAATAATAATGTCACATTACATTGTGTGCACCATGTGCACTTGTATATTGTATATAGTAATTGTAACTCTATTTTTATTTCATTCCTTAGAACTGCTTTTTATTTTTATTTTTATTATGCCTTTCTACCTTTAGCTCTCTCTCTGACTGTTGCACTGAGCCAAAGCAATTTCCCAGTCTCTGACTTCCTGTTACTCACATGGCAATATAAATTATTCTGATTATTTAGGGCTAAAAGAGTTATAGCTTCAGATCTGTGTATATCTGGTCTGAAGCATGTGTTGTACTCATGGTGTATTAGGGTGATTGCATTGGTAAAGTAATGTGGGCAAGCAGGGTACTTAAGGTGTGCTTGTTTACCCCATGGCACTTGTGGTTAAGAGAAGGTAACGTGGACTGCAGGATTGAGAGAGGAAGCTAATAATTAAATATCCTTTTCACCTGCAGACTTTTCCACTGCGCTCAGTTTTAGTACTTTTCCCCTAGAGAGCTTTTAAGTAAAGATATGTCTAACGCCCTTTCCGACCCAGCCATGCTGCTTACCGGTGACCACACGCTGCGTGTTGCTCGAGATCTCAGACTCCGCAGTAATCGAGGCCGCTGCCTGGGTGGAGGCCGCTGCCGGTGGTTCTCCAGGGATAGGGGATGGGGACCGTGGGGGCTCGTCTGTCATCTCCGTCGTGGGAAGGGATTCTAAAACAAACACACAACGGCTTAAGTACAAGCACAGTACAGAATGGGAATACGTGAAAGAGCAAGACACAGGCACTAGCACAGGAAGTTAGCTTTAGCTTGCTTGCTAGCTAAAAGTATCTATCTCACTGTGTACAACAGGCCATCAAACAAATACATGAGAAAATAAATTACAGTGAGACCTTACGTTATTTTCACGATTAGTAAAGACAAAAGTAACAAAACACTTACGATCCTCAATGGACAGAAGCAACGAGGAGGCCGAGTCCACACCACACTCCCGTCCATTGTTAGACGGCCTGTGACCGTAAATGGCGTCCATCTCAGCAAACCACCGCCAACTCCTTCTGTTAATGGCCCTGTAGTCACTCTTAAGCTTCTTCAACTTGTCCCTACACTGCTGCAGCGTGCGGGGATATCCACGTACGGCCATGAGCTCGGAGATCTCCTTGAAAACCTTGTGGTTTCGAGTGGTGCCGTCGAGCTCCTTCTGGATACTGTCCTCGGCCACGAGACACAGTAAACATTGGACCTCGGCGACGGACCAAGGCGAAGATTTGGGGGTCTTTGCGGTTTCCATTGCTCTCACTACACAACACGTCTTGCTACAGCACAGGCGGGTTTAAAAATGGCGGGGTTGAGATTTGGTTATCACAGGGTTGGATGTCGCACTTATGACGCTCCAGTGACGACACTCGTTGACCAATCAGTGTAAGGCAGTGGTTAGGGTTAAGGCAGACGTGACGTCATGGCACGGGTACTGTGAGGATGGAACCACGGCTGAGGCAGTACGGAAAAGTACTCAAATCTCCCATTCCATCCACTAGTGGAAAAGCAAAATAGGTGCGCCGTACCGTACCGAAATGAACTGAACCGACACTGTGGAAAAACGGCAAAACTCTGCTCGTCTGGCTCTCGCTCTAACTCCCGCTCTGATGAACTGCTCTGATTGGTCAGAGCACGGCCGAGCCCCTCTGTGCACGTGCGTGAGACCCACACACGCGTGTTTAGCGCAACGCATTATGGGAGATAATACACTGCGCAGAACCGGGAGGACCAGACGATGCCCAAATACAGGCGACTTTCCCATAGATCTTTGCGAGTTCCAGGCGACTTCCGCTAATCTTTCAGCCCCCATGCCGTCACAAAGCGCCACTGAGCACAACCATTCATTTGAATAGGGCGCCATCTTGGATCGCCGGGGCTTGCTCTGTCCCCTCTACCTGCGAGGCGCTCTCTCCGCGCACACACACACACACACACACACAGGATATGTTAGAGTTCTTTTCTCTCTCCCCTTTTTCCAATTGCTTTCAATAAGTTTTGCTTCATCCATCGCAACGTCCTCAATGCTTCAAAATGCTGTGCTTTGCACTGATCATAGCCACAGCTCATTCAAATCACACACCGCTTCTTCTATTTAAAACTATAGCGGCTGCCTGTTGCCTAAAGCCGCGGAGAGGCGAGTTGGGTCCGATAAAAGTGTATGACGCGCTAAATAAGTATAGAAAACAAACGAAGAGGCTGGATCATAATAATCGCTGCGGTCACAGGCCCAAACACACATGCACGCACACACACGCGCCTCCCACCACACAACCACACAGGCGCTCTCACACACACGCACATATGTACGCCGACAACACATGACTCCTCCATCAGCCAAACATTCATTTATTCACGCAATGCCCAAACGTGTCTCCTACAAAAACAAAGCAGGCTGATAAACGCACAGCCAGAGCTGCGCGCTGCTGCAGCCGGTTTGACCACTAGTCTTTTTTATGGACGTCCGACGGACAGCAGCCAACGCGCGTCAACGGAGACGCGCCCGGTGGAGTCCAGGCCTCAGTTTAGTCCTCCGAGACCGCGGCTCCTGCCGTCCTGTCTCCCTCCAACAGCGCGCAAGTGTGTGCGTGCGTGTACGCGAGTGTATGCGTCGTCACTAAAGCCTAAGTTATACTTGCGCGGCGCGGAGCTTACGGAGGTGACGCGACGTCACTTGCGCAACGCGTTGGTCACCGCAAGGCCCTTACGTTGCCTGCTGCGCAGCATCGACATTTTCTAACGACGTAAAGGTCGACGCAAGGAAGCTCCGCTGTGATTGGTCCGTGTGTGTGTATTGGAAGGAAGCACGGAGCGGCTGCAGCAGGAGCATGGACGAGGCACTATGGAGCAGAGAGCTTTGTGCTTCGAAGGAAAAGCAGTTTGGGCTCAGAGCCTGATATACAGGAGACAGTGGACTATCTAACATATATATAACTTATATCTAACATATATATAACTTATATCTAACATATATATAACTTATATCTAACATATATATAACTTATATCTAACATATATCCATCCATTCTACCCTTTAATCCATTTCTGGGTCAGGGGGGTGGCAATCAGAGATGCCACCCAAGTCTCATAGCACCAGCCCCTCACTGACCCTCTGCAGGTGGTGAGTCCACAGGAGGACGGCTGCTCTCTGAGTGTGAGCATAGCCTTGATCTTTCAGTGGGGGCTTTGGGCAAAGTGGGGTTAAGTGTCTTGCCTAAGGACACAACGACAGCAGTCATCAGTGGGAGTCGGTGGAGAAGGTGCAGAGGTGAACCCACGACCTTCTGGCCTTAAGGCCAATGCTCTACCAACTGAGCTACTGTCGCCCTATCTAACATATATATAACTTATATCTAACATATATATAACTTATATCTAACATATATATAACTTATATCTAACATATATATAACTTATATCTAACATATATATAACTTATATCTAACATATATACAACTTATATCTAACATATATATAACTTATATCTAACATATATACACTCGTAAATCGTTCATGTTTGTCTCAGATATTTACCACTATTATTGTTTTGCTGTTTGTGCTGAAAACTATTTAATAATAACTATGTTTCCAACAGAACTGTGTCTTTATTCACAGCATCACAGTTGAAATGACTTATAAAATGATGAATCCATAAAACTATCACATAAACCTACAGTAGAAACACTAGGCTTAAGGCCTGCACACTTAAACATTCCGTCTTCCTACTTTGTTTTTGGCAGCGGGAAAATGCTGTAGTATATGAACATCAGAAATGTCCGTGAGAAAACAGCTTTGGAGGACCCTACCGCGCTACTTGCTCAAAAAAATAGCTTAGCTACAGAAAAGTTACTTGGATTTGTAAATAGTGACGCTACCCTCAAGCTACTGAAAAACGTAGCGAGTTAAGCTAGTAGCGTCGCTACTGCCCATCACTGTAAACTACAGACTTAAAACATGGATTCAAAAGGCTCTGACTTGTACATTTGCATTTGTAACAACATAAATAACATTTAAAACCGAAATCATGCAGAGTGTAAAAACGTGACCCACCTCCTCAGACGCTAGACAAAGACTGAGCGAGGCGCATGCTATACTTCCGGTAAGAGCGTGTAGACCAATCAGAAAGGAAGGGGGAGGAGCTTGGGTTGTTTTTTTTTTCAAATCAAGTACCTCTCTGTCTCTCTTTCTGACAAACTCTAGACCAGTGTCTCCCAAAGTGGGGTCCGCGGCCCCCTGGTGGGCCGCGAGGGTACTGCAGGGGGGCCGCGGGAGGTCATAAAAAAAATAAAAAAAATAATATAATTATTTAATGTTAAATTTATAATGTTTTGTTTGTAATATTAAAATATTTGTGTTCATTATTTGACTTGAATAATCCACTGTAATCATTTTTGTATTACAATGTTTGTAGCAGAGGCTATTTCCCCAAAATAAAATAACCAGAAGAGCCTATTCTTAATGTTGTCTTCTTGGTTATTATTTTGGGGGGCCACGCAGACCCGTCAGATTTTTAAGGGGGCCTCGGTGTTACTGAGTTTGGGAATGGCTGCTCTAGACAATCACTTTAAAGAACAAATGTACAATATTGCACAACACCTGGATTCGAAGTTAAAACATACGTCCATGACAAACAGATGCCCTTTCATGGGTTTGCACGTGTGTGAGCATTTGTGCTTCTCCGCCATGTTTAAAACAGGTTACCAGAAGCAGTCCTTAGGGTGCTGAGTTGGGGTGGGGTGGGGCGGGGTCCCTAGGGCGTGGTGGTGATTGCGTTCAGGTCTTTCATGAGGCCCTCCAGGTGGGCCATCTCCTCCGTCAGCTCGTCGGGTTCGTAGCTCTGCGGGAGAGGCACAGGAGGGGGGGCGTTACTGCGCGAGGCGGAGGAGGGCGTCAGGGAGGCCAGGACCTGCAGGAGAGCCAGGGGGGAAGAGAGGGGGGAGAGGGGGGAGAACAAGCCCAGGTCAGTCCCGACTTATGTGTTTAATAACCTCATTCTAGCTCATACATTTAGCTTGTTTGCTAGCACTGCCCTTGTCACCCTAGAAATAAAACGCTTCCCATTGAAAGTCCACGTCTTTGCAGCAGGAACAGCCCCTTACTGTATGAATGAAATGAGAATGGGTCAAAGAAACTGAAGCCAAAAGAAAAAAGCAGCCGGAAAAACATCCAGAAAAGCATTCCAAATAAACGAAACAAAAAAGCAACAAAATCATTCCAGGTGTTTTTGAAAAGTTATTGATTAAAAGACAAACATGCGCCGACAGAAGCGACAGAAGCAGACGGAAAAGAGGAGAAACAGAGAGACAGAGTTAACGGCGGCGTCCGGACGGCAGCCTCAGTCCTGGGTCTACAGCCTCAGTCTTGGGTCTACGGGCTCAGTCCTGGGTCTACGGCCTCAGTCCTGGGTCTACGGCCGCAGTCCTGGGTCTACGGCCCCAGTCCTGGGTCTACGGCCTCAGTCCTGGGTCTATACAGTCACAGTCCTGGGTCTACAGTCTCAGTCCTGGGTCTACAGTCTCAGTCCTGGGTCTACAGTCTCAGTCCTGGGTCTACAGCCTCAGTCCTGGGTCTACAGCCTCAGTCCTGGGTCTACAGCCTCAGTCCTGGGTCTACAGTCTCAGTCCTGGGTCTACAGTCACAGTCCTGGGTCTATACAGTCTCAGTCCTGGGTCTACAGCCTCAGTCCTGGGTCTACAGCCTCAGTCCTGGATCTATTGTGGGCTAACTCAGGACCATAACTTTACATGTGTCTATCTTCCCCTAGTCTCCTTCTTCATGAGACCCCAGTGAGTCTAAGTCTCGGTCTCTGTCTCGGTCTCGTACCGCTCTGTGTGAGCAGGGGCGTGCAGGGCAGGGCGGGGTTCTCGTAGGAGGGGTGGGCTCCCGGGGGGATGGCGGGGACTGCGAAGCTCTTCAGCGGGTGTGCGTGTGCGTGCACCGGGCGCAGAGGGGCCAGGCTGCCGCTATAGCTGCCCTCCTCCTCCGTGGTGCTGCCGTGGTAGCTCCCCTCCGGGTCCACCGTGATCTCCGAGGGACAGGAGAGCTGCGAGGAGAGCTGCGAGGAGAGCTGCGAGGAGAGCTGCGAGGAGAGCTGCGAGGAGAGCTGCGAGGAGAGCTGCGGGGAGAGCTGCGAGGAGAGCTGCGAGGAGAGCTGCGAGGAGAGCTGCGACGAGAGCTGCGACGAGAGCTGCGACGAGAGCTGCGACGAGAGCTGCGACGAGAGCTGCGAGGAGAGCTGCGACGAGAGCTGCGAGGAGGCCGGGGGAGGGGCGTCCGAGCACGGCGTGTTCCTCACCGACTCTGAGGGAGACAAGAGGGTCACGTTATAGATGCCACAACACTACTATGGAACCAGGTGTGCAAGAAGGAGGGGGGAAGGGAGACGAGAACCATGTGGCACTATAGATGCCACCACACTAAGGAAGGAAGGGAGACGAGAACCATGTGGCACTATAGATGCTAAGGAAGGAAGGGAGACCACTATAGATGCCACCACACTTCTGTGGAACCAGGTCTGCAAGAAGGAGGGTAAAGAGACAGGAGAGTGACGCTGTACAGCAGATACCATAAACATAACGGCAGATACCATAAACATAACGGCAGAACAGAGTCCACAAGAAGGAGGAAGGAAACCTGTTTGGAACTAAATAATGTTCAGTATTTAACCATGTTAAATTTTTCTGTATCAAAAATAAACCTAAGATACACTGCAAAAAGTGTTAAGTAATACATCTAAAAATGCTCAAATTTGTCAAAATGTGTCTTTGCATTTTACAGACCAAAGCGCTTTACAATGTTCAGAGTTCAGATATTGTTCCATTCTCTCCACACGGTGAAGCGAGACCTGAACACACTGGTCCATCAAAGCCTCCGACCAAACACCCTCCATTCACTCATTCACTCATTCCATTCAGACATGGTACATGGTTTTGGTTGGAAGGGGAAACCGGAGCACTCTGAGGAAACCTATGCGGACATGGGAAGAACATGCAAACTCCACTCAGAGAGGCCCTGTTCCGACCGGGAATCGAACCCAAGACCTTCTTGCTGAGAAGTGAGTGTGCTAACCACGCTAACCAGGAAAGGTGGCTGAGTATAACAAGAACCAGAAGGAACCGTATTATAAAATAAATGTGTAACATGGGTAAAAACTACAAAAGTGGTTAAACACAGCCTCAGGTCACACACTCTCCACAGCGGGTCAGAGCGGAGCAGTGAGTGAGATGGAAGGCCTCACCTATAGACTCGCCCCGGGACAGGTGAGCGATGAGGGAGGCACAGGGGTGGTAGCGCCCTCCACTGGCCTGGGGGTGGTACAGGTAGGTGCGCGTGGGCGAGGCCAGGCTGTGGTAGTGCTGAGGCTGGAGCGAGTCCAGGGAGTGGATGGGGTGAGCTGAGATGACCGCTGCGTACGACACATGAAGCAATGACACACAATGACACACAATGAGACACAATGACACACAATGACACACAATGAGACACAATGAGAGAGAGAGGAGAGGGAGGAGAGAGAGGAGAGAGAGAAGAGAGAGGGGAGAGAGAGAAGAGAGAGGAGAGAGAGGAGAGATAGAGGAGAGAGAGGAGAGAGAGAAGAGAGGGAGGAGAGAGAGAAGAGAGAGGAGAGAGAGAAGAGAGGGGAGAGAGAGAGGAGAGGGAGGAGAGAGAGAAGAGAGGGAGGAGAGAGAGAAGAGAGGGAGGAGAGAGAGGAGAGAGGGGGAGAGAGAGGAGAGAGAGGAGGAGAGAGGAGAGAGAGGAGAGAGAGAAGAGAGGGAGGAGAGAGAGAGAGAGAGGAGAGAGAGAGGAGAGGGAGGAGAGAGAGAAGAGAGGGGAGAGAGGAGAGAGAGGAGAGAGAGAGGGGAGAGAGAGAAGAGAGAGAGGAGAGAGAGGAGAGAGAGGGGAGAGAGAGTAGAGAGAGGAGAGAGAGGAGAGAGAGAGGAGAGAGGGGAGAGAGAGAGAGAGAGGAGAGAGAGAGAGGAGAGAGGGGAGAGAGAGGAGAGGGAGGGGGAGACAGACGAGAGGGAGGAGAGAGAGAGAGAAGAGGGAGGCGAGAGAGAGAGAGAGAGAGGGGAGAGAGAGGAGAGGGAGAAGAGAGAGGAGAGAGAGAGAGGAGAGAGAGGAGAGAGAGAGGGAGAGAGAGAGGAGAGGAGAGAGAGAAGAGAGAGAGGAGAGAGGGGAGAGAGAGTAGAGAGAGGAGAGAGAGAGGAGAGAGAGGGGAGAGAGAGTAGAGAGAGGAGAGAGAGAGGAGAGAGAGAGGAGAGAGAGGAGAGGGAGGGGGAGACAGACGAGAGGGAGGAGAGAGAGAGAGAGAAGAGGGAGGCGAGAGAGAGAGGGAGAGAGAGGAGAGAGAGAGGAGAGGGAGGAGACAGACAGGAGAGACAGGGGAGAGAGAGGAGAGGGAGGGGGGAGACAGAGGAGAGGGAGGAGAGAGAGGAGAGAGGGGAGAGCGGGATGAGAGAGAGAGAGGAGAGGGAGGGGAGAGAGAGAGGAGAGAGGGGAAAGAGAGGAGAGGGAGGGGGGAGACAGAGGAGAGGAAGGAGAGAGAGGAGAGGAGATGCACAAGCATGGGATGTCCACAGATGACACTTTCCTCTCGTATAAGACCCTCGTCCCACTCCTCACCCTCTGCACAGGAGCTGCCCTGGTCTCCCCCTCCCTCCCCCTCTCTCCCCCTCCCTCCCACACACACTTACGCTGAGGCGGCTGGGCATCAAACGGCATCATCATTTTAGGCCTCATCCCGCGGCGGCCTCCCAGAGTCGACATGCCGTCCTCAGACTCGAGCCCTAAAACGCAGGCTCAGCTTTAATTCAAATTCAGCCAATTTTAAATGTTTTGGAAAAGGACTTTTTATTCAATAGTTTAAGGAGAGTGAGTGAAGCAGACGATGAGAGGCATGAAGAAGCAACACTCAAACAAACGACGTTTGGACGTTCATTTAAGACACACATTAGCCTCCTGCAGCTCGGGAGACACCAGTAGCATTAGCTCTCCCTGTAGCTCCCAAAGGATTTAGAATTGACATTATACAGCTATAGCAATGCCCTGTTTTGTGTGTGAGCGTGAGTGCGTGCATGTGTGTGTATGTGTGTGTGTGTGTGTGCGTGTGTGTGTGTGTGTGTGTGTGTGTGCGTGCGTGTGTGTGTGTGTGAGGAGAGACTGCAGAAAAAACCCGCACATTGAAATCAGACATGGCTCAAATCTGAATTAAGACACATGTGGAAGAAGGAGCAGGGCCCTTACCCCACCGCTGTCAGACTGTACAATGAGTCACTAATGCACTAGGACTGAAAGAAAATAAAACCTGCACTGCTATTGCCACTCTACTTTTATTGCCACATTTTTATTGTACATATTTATATCCTGCACAGACTATATTTCTAACCTTAAACACGTTTCACACTTCTGCCTGATTCTGTCTGTGCCAAATGTGACCTGTACATTTCTCAATCAGAGATCAATAATCTCGATCTTATCTTATGGAAGTAATGGAATACAGACTAAAACTGTTTGTCCAATATCAAACATTTAGTTTTAAGGCCTGTGTGTGGATTTCTCTCTCATTCATCATTTTGTTCTGATACAGCAGTTCTCTGGAGGAGGAGGTTGGAGACCCCTGATGCAGACTGTAAACAGTAGACACACGGACAGTGTTATGCCGCCCTCTCCTGGCTGCAGAGGGAATTACCACCACAATAACAAACTAAAGCAGCTTGTGCAAAGACTGAGATTAGATTTAATTCATTCCCAGTGTTTTGTAACTGATGATGCAACACTGACATTTCCTCACAGTGGGACGCACAAAGGATCTCTTCATCTTCATGTAAATTTGACTCCAAAAACATGAAAGTGTATTTTCTCAGCAACATTTTGGACATTTCCCGAGTCTCTGGAGCTGCAATGGTTTCTGTCCTCTCTCCTCTCGCATCGGGGGCAGTCTGAGCCTGAGCCTGAGCCTGAGCCTGAGTCTGAGTCTGAGTCTGAGTCTGAGTCTGAGTCTGAGTCTGAGTCTGAGTCTGAGTCTGAGTCTGAGTCTGAGTCTGAGTCTGAGTCTGAGTCTGAGTCTGAGTCTGAGTCTGAGTCTGAGTCTTAGTCTTAGTCTTAGTCTTAGTCTTAGTCTTAGTCTTAGTCTTAGTCTTAGTCTTAGTCTTAGTCTTAGTCTTAGTCTGAGTCTGAGTCTGAGTCTTAGTCTGAGTCAGAGAGTGTGGAGCAGGTGAGAGAGCGGGTCTTTGAAGCTGCTCAGAGGTTCTCCACAGGGGGGCGCTCTCTGCAGGAGGCAGACTTTGCTCTGAACTCTCTCTGTAGCTATTTGGAGGAAACGTGTTTGTAATAAAGTGTCTCCAGTATCTGCAGCTCATCCAGAGCGATCATGGGCCTCTTGGCTGCATCTCTGATCAGTCTTCTCCTTGTTTGAGATGAAAGTTTGGAGGGACGGCCGGGTCTTGGTAGATTTGCAGTGGTCTGATACTCCTTCCATTTCAATATAATTGCTTGCACAGTGCTCCTTGAGATGTTTAAAGCTTGAGAAATCGTTTTGTATCCAAATCCGGCTTTAAACTTCTCCACAACAGTATCTCGGACCTGCCTGGTGTGTTCCTTTGTCTTCATGGTTCTCTCTGCGCTTTAAACAGAACCCTGAGACTATCAAAGAGCAGGTGCATTTATACGGAGACTTGATTACACACAGGTGCATTCTATTTATCATCATCAGTCATTTAGGACAACATTGGATCATTCAAAGATCCTCACTGAACTTCTGGACTGAGTTTGCTGCACTGAAAGTAAAGGGGCCGAATAATATTGCACGCCCCACTTTTCAGTTTTTTATTTATTTATTTTATTTTAAATTATCCAATCAATTTTGTTCCACTTCACGATTGTGTCCCACTTGTTGTTGATTCATGACAAAAAATAAAAAAAATTCTATCTTTATGTTTGAAGCCTGAAATGTGGCAAAATGTTGAAAGGTTCAAGGGGGCCGAATACTTTCGCAAGGCACTGTACATCTCTCTCTGGTCTCTCTCTGGTCTCTCTCTGGTCTCTCTCTGGTCTCTCTCTGGTCTCTCTCTGGTCTCTCTCTGGTCTCTCTCTCTGGTCTCTCTCTCTGGTCTCTCTCTCTGGTCTCTCTCTCTGGTCTCTCTCTCTGGTCTCTCTCCCTGGTCTCTCTCTCTGGTCTCTCTCTGGTCTCTCTCTCTGGTCTCTCTCTCTGGTCTCTCTCTGGTCTCTCTCTCTGGTCTCTCTCCCTGGTCTCTCTCTCTGGTCTCTCTCTCTGGTCTCTCTCTCTGGTCTCTCTCTCTGGTCTCTCTCTGGTCTCTCTCTCTGGTCTCTCTCTCTGGTCTCTCTCCCTGGTCTCTCTCTCTGGTCTCTCTCCCTGGTCTCTCTCTCTGGTCTCTCTCTCTGGTCTCTCTCTCTGGTCTCTCTCTCTGGTCTCTCTGGTCTCTCCCTGGTCTCTCTCCCTGGTCTCTCTCTCTGGTCTCTCTCTCTGGTCTCTCTCTCTGGTCTCTCTCTCTGGTCTCTCTCTCTGGTCTCTCTCTCTGGTCTCTCTCTCTGGTCTCTCTCTCTGGTCTCTCTCTCTGGTCTCTCTCTGGTCTCTCTCTGGTCTCTCTCTCTGGTCTCTCTCTCTGGTCTCTCTCTCTGGTCTCTCTCTCTGGTCTCTCTCTCTGGTCTCTCTCTCTGGTCTCTCTCTCTGGTTTCTCTCTCTGGTCTCTCTCTCTTTTCTCTCTCTCTGGTCTCTCTCTGGTCTCTCTCTCTGGTCTCTCTCTCTGGTCTCTCTCTCTCTCTCTCTGGTCTCTCTCTCTGGTCTCTCTCTCTCTGGGTCTCTCTCTCTCTGGTCTCTCTCTGGTCTCTCTCTGGTCTCTCTCTGGTCTCTCTCTGGTCTCTCTCTGGTCTCTCTCTGGTCTCTCTCTCTGGCTCTCTCTCTGGTCTCTCTCTGGTCTCTCTCTGGTCTCTCTCTGGTGTCTTCTCTGGTCTCTCTCTCTGGTCTCTCTCTCTGGTCTCTCTCTCTCTCTCTCTCTCTCTCTCTGGTCTCTCTCTCTGGTCTCTCTCTGGTCTCTCTCTGTTCTCTCTCTCTGGTCTCTCTCTCTGGTCTCTCTCTCTGGTCTCTCTCTCTGGTCTCTCTCTCTGGTCTCTCTCTGGTCTCTCTCTGGTCTCTCTCTCTGGTCTCGCTCTCTGGTCTCGCTCTCTGGTCTCTCTCTCTGGTCTCTCTCTCTGGTCTCTCTCTCTGGTCTCTCTCTCTGGTCTCTCTCTCTGGTCTCTCTTACTTCTTCTGGTGTGAGTTGGTGCGTCTGGTACAGAGGAAGGCTCCGACGATGACTACGATGATGGTGAAGGCTCCGACCGAGATGATGACGATGACGAGCAGGTGGTTCTCGTTACTGGGGACTCCTGCGGATCAAAGGTACAAGTCCCTGTGAGTCACAATCTGATCTGACATCATTAAAGGGCCCTAATCTGTCATCATTAAAGGGCCCTAATTCGTCATTATTAAAGGGCCCTAATCTGTCATCATTAAAGGGCCCTACTCTGTCATCATTAAAGGGCCCTAATCTGTCATCATTAAAGGGCCCTAATCTGTCATTATTAAAGGGCCCTAATCCGTCATCATTAAAGGGCCCTAATATGTCATCATTAAAGGGCCCTAATCCGTCATTATTAATTTAATGATCTTTAATTTGCTTATTTGCCTTATGGGATCTAAGTGCTAACTGTTGTCCCTGGGCACATGGCAATCACCTCAATGTGAAAAATGCTGTATTCAAAAGCACCTGCCCTACAGCCTTTCCATTTCCAGGGCAACTTCCAGTACAATTGAACAATGATATAAACTTGTCTCCAGCTCTGCCCAGAGACTTCCCAAAACTCAAATTTTTGTTTGCTTTGTTCTATCTCACCAATTCATTACATGGAGGTGCTTCAACATGTCCAAGAATTGACAGTAGGCCTATATCAATTGCTAAACAGAGGGTATTGATTGCCTTACTTCTTTTGTTGGCTGGAAATGTGCATCCAAATCCCGGACCTGAGCTTCAATGCTCCCAGACACCTTCTGACTTCAAATCATCGTCTGGTCTTAAATGTATTCATCTTAATGTACGGAGCCTACTGCCAAAGATGGACTCTGTTAGAATCTGGGTGAAATCAACAGATGCAGATGCTGTTATCATTTCAGAAACTTGGCTTACTAAGTCTATTTCAAACATAGACATTAACATTCTTGGGTACAATGTTTACCGCACTGATAGGCCTAAGAAAGGTGGAGGTGTAGCTATCTATGTTAAATCCAAATTTAATTCCTCAATTATTTTTTCTCAATCAATCAGTAAACAAATGGAATTATTGGCCTTGAATATTGAAATAGTAAAATTGCTGCACATTACAGTAGTTGGGTGCTACAGGCCTCCATCTGCCTCAAAGGAAGCGCTAGGATCATTAAAACAGCTTTTGGATGGGTTAAATTTCTCTGAGTTGCTTACGGCAGGAGATCTCAACTGGGATTGGTTAAGTGCAACTTCTGATGAATTTAAAAGGTTTTGTGATTCTATTAATCTCACGCAGTTAGTTCCTTCTCCCACCAGGCCCAATCCCAAAAGTCCAGATAAATCTACCCTGATTGATTTGATTTTGACTAATGTGCCTCAGAAGTTCTCTCTGTGGGTGTCTTCTGCAATGACTTAAGTGACCATTGTGTTGTGGCTGCGTGCAGGAACACTAAGATTCCTAAGTGCAAACCCCGTATTGTTTGTAGAAGGAATCTGAAACATTTTAATGAACAAGCCTTTTGTCATGATTTGTCCATGCTGGATTGGAAACGATTAGATCTAATACCAGATGTAGAGCTTGCTTGGACTTTTTTAAAGACATCTTCATGCAAGTAGTAAATAAACATGCTCCTTTGAAGAAATACAGGGTAAAGGGGCGAGAAAACCCATGGTTCTCCCCAGACCTGGCAGACAGCATTCATGAGCGTAATAAGGCGTGGGACAAGGCAAGACAGAATAACCTGGCCACTGATTGGACCTTTTTTAGACAGCTTCGAAATAAATGCACCTTGCTTGTAAAAAAGGCCAAAGCAGAATATTACTTGTCCGTTACCGCTGAGAACCTCAACAATCCTCAGAAATTCTGGAAAGTGATCAAGTCTCTGTCTGTGGATATAAAAGAGACTCTTCCGACATTTGTATTTAAAGACTCTGTCCCAGTTTATGACAGAACTGAAATCTTAAATTGCTTTTGGTGGCACGGTGGCTGAGTGGATAGCACTCTCGCCTCTCAGCAAGAAGGTCCTGGGTTCGAATCCCGGCCCGGACCAGGGCCTTTCTGAGTGGAGTTTGCATGTTCTCCCCGTGTCTGCGTAGGTTTCCTCCGGGTACTCCGGTTTCCCCTACCACTAAAAATATGTACAATAGTTCTGGCATGCGCCTCCTGTTCGGCGACCCCACTCCCATCTCTGTGTGGAGTGAGAGACAAATGCCCATAATTAACAATTGTAAACCGCTTTGTGACTCTGGTCTGTGAAAGGCGGTATATAAATAAAGCTTACTGTACCCTCACCCCCCCCCCCTCTACAGTAGTCCTTACCCTCCCCCCCCTCCTACAGTAGTCCTTACCCTCACCCCCCCCCTACAGTAGTCCTTACCCTCACCCCCCCTCCACAGTAGTCCTTACCCTCACGGCCCCCACCAGGCGGATGTAGTCACAAAGCAGCTCCCCCAGGACAAAGAAGTCGTTGGCGGCCTGCTCCTGGTGCAGCGCCTCCATCTTGTCCTCGACCTCGGCGAGCTGAGACAGCGCCCGCGACAGCGCCGTGTTGTCCTCAGAGTTCCCCAACATCGCCATGCTCTTAGCAAACAGCGCCGTGTTCATGCAGAGCTCTGTGGGGGAGAGGGGCGGAGCTTAGAGGGCAGGGCTTATAGAGGGGTGAGGCTTAGAGGGGCGGAGCTTACAGGGGCGGGGCATACACAGGGGCGGAGATTATGCAGGGGTGGATCTTAGAGAGGGGCGGAGCTTACAAAGGACTTACTACAAACCCCAATTTCTGGTAAATGATAATAAACATTCATATGTATATGTGTGTGTGTGGTGGTGATGTAACTGTTAGAAGAATAAAGGATCTCATGTTACACTGTGGTTGTGGGTTGTGGGATAATGATTGACAGGCCTCTCCTCTCATATAAACCTGTAAGTGATGGATGTGGATCTGACCTTTGCGGTGATTGACCAGAGAGTCCACTACAGCACTGAGCTTCCTCAGCTGCTGCTCCTCGTTCTCCACCTCCTGGAACTTGTCTTCAAACCACTGAGAGCAACACAACCAGAGAGAACAGTGTCAAATCTCTTCTTGTGCTTAAGCCTCAGCCTGCTGTAAACATACTGTTTAAAGAATGCAGTATGTGCAGCTTTTACATCAATTACCCTTCTATAATGCAATGCATAATATAAAATGAAAGAAATAAGCAAGAATGTGTGTGAGTGTGTGTAGATGGTCCTCACGGTGTCAGCCTCGTTCATCTTGTTGACTGTGCGTCTTCCTGTGTGTGTGTGTTTATGTATATATGTGGTCCTCATGGTGTCTGCCTTGTTCATCTTGATGGTCATCTTGTTGAATGTGTGTGTGTGTGCTCCCGCGTGTGTGTGTGCTCCCGTGTGTGTGTGTGTGTGTGCTCCCGTGTGTGTGTGTGTGTGTGTGCTCCCGTGTGTGTGTGTGCGTATGGTCCTCACGGTGTCGGCCTCGTTCATCTTGATGGTCATCTTGTTGACTGCGTCTGAAGCTTTGTTGATCATTTTGAGGAATCCTGCTCCACTGAGGGCCTGAGTGTTCACGGCTCTGGGCAGCTGCACAAAAACACATTTAAAAATATTACAAACTCAGGGACCTCCAGAACCCGACTAATCAGGATTGGACAGAATAGGTGATTGGACTAATTAACTTCCTACAAGGATATTAAAAGGATTCTGTATTAGTATTTGGACAAAGTGTGTATGTGACAATTCCCAGGCTGTATATTTCTTCAGCCCAGTCTCTGCATTTACAAGTGCTACACTGCACTCACTCTTTCATAAACCTCCATCAGGCTCATGTCTTAAGAATAAATTAAACTTATTCTCCATCACTGACAGCTGTTTACTGAGCTGATCTTCTCCTACAGTTCTCAATGTCACGTTTATCCACTGACATGTGTTGCCCCGTTATCTGCCACACATTATGGTGCTCTTTTAAATCACTTCTAAAACCACACTTTACTGGAGTGGCCTTCATATAACCGTTTCACACTTGTTTCTTGAATTATATGTAACACATTGTAAAACTGCTCAAATAAAACTACGACTAAAACCAACTCTTATATGCCGTCTTTAAGATTTGTCTAGAGATATCTCACGTGACGTCACGATGCCTCGAACTCGCGGGGCATCCACCATACTGGAGGACAAGCAAACGCTGTATGATAGTGGCGTGCACCCGGGACCGCATAAACATGTTCAACATTTTTGCCGTTTTTGGCTGCAGCAAAAGGAGAGACAGGGAAAATAAGTTGTGTTACCGACTGCCAGCCGTCCTTACTTCACACGGCTCAAAAACAGAAGAAATCTCAAAGAAACGAGAGAGAAATGGCACAACCATACGCAACAACAAAAAACTAATAGCCCCCACAGCGCCCGAATATGCTCGGATCATTTCATTTCTGCTAAGTGAAATCAATTTGATGGCGGATTTAGTGTTATTCCGAAACAAACAGAAGTTTAAGGATAAAACATATCTGTCTGACTGCAACGTGGGGTTGCTCCATAGACTGTAGCTTAGCTTGTAGCATAGCTGTTATATATTTGGTCTCACACAGGACCTCACCCGGTTCACAGGGGGTCTGACTTACCGAAGGCCAGCAGACATGTGAACGACTGAGCCGTGCTCCAGGGTGCCCCGTACTAGTATTTATTAATAAAATATACGGCTCCTCACAGTAGACGCAGAAAGCTCCATTGATTTGAATGTAATCTCATTATTTCCACTGCAGTGTAGCCACACATAGATCCATGGTGTAACAATAAACACATTAAATGTTAATCAGAGAATACATTATACATATACATTCTTAATACACGTGCACAGAGGTTTTCAGATTTTTCTGTTCACGTTTTCATGAAAAAACACTGTTTTAATGCGACAATATGCGACCGCGGTAAACCTGGACGTAACGATAAACATTAATAATACATTTTAGGATGCATTTCCAGAGGATCTGATTCATGAATTTAGGTTGAGTATATATTTGGGTCACTAACTGCTGAAGTTTCAAATTCTCTGTTCAGTTTTCATGTAGTTCGAGAGAGTTCTAGTTTTGAACGTCCAGTTATAGATAGCTAGCAGGGCTGTTACTCGCCGAGGTTGTCCTCCAGTATGGCTGCCGTGGCTGCTAGTCACGTGACCCTAGGATCCCTCTATAGGATTGTATTAATATTCATACTTCAGACAACAGGTGTGTGTGTCATAGAGAAAGACACATTCTTCCATTGGTCCTCAGAACATTTGAACTGGACCAATCAGGATCCAGCAGAGACTCACCTCTTCTCTCTCCAGGAACTCTCTCACATCAGGGTCCTGCAGCAGCGTGGGGTGGCTCACTATTCTCTGGAGGTACCTAAAAAGCAGACAGAGATTGAGGACACACAGCAGCAGTGTCACGGTAAGTTTATTGGCGTAGCACAGTCTATCCACAAGGCGACTCAAAGTGCTGAACAAAACCAGATAGAAACCATCACACAAGGCATTCAAATTAGCCTAGCCATAGCCATTTGTAAACTCTTTCCCTACATGTACGAAATGAAATGTGTTCGATAGGGCTGCATGATACTGGAAATTAGTGCGATATTCGATATAAGTGTTGAGGATTTCGATAACGATATTATTGCGATATTTTTGTCTTTAGCCTAAAATTGCATCTGCTTTGAAGCGCAAGAGACCAATAACAAAAAATAAGCACAACATTAATGACATTCAAATGCATATATTTATACACTTGTTTGTTGTTCTTGTGAATGTTGATGTGTCTATTGAAGATGAAGACTATGATGTCTGCAGTTTTTGGTTTTATCCCACACACTTGGTATTTCATTAACATTATTCATTAAAACGTTGCAGGTTTGGTTGAACAGCATCACACACACCTGCTCCTATCTCTGTGTGGAGTGAGAGACAAGTGCCCAAAAATAATAACAATTGTAAACCGCTTTGTGACTCTGGTCTGTGAAAGGCGGTGTATAAATAAAGATTACTTACTTACTTAAACTACAAAGAAGTATCTATTCATGAACTCCATGTGGCGTATTGTTTGAGGATTGTATTGAGGAGACCCAGATGGGAAACATTTAAGTCGGCTCAATGAGAGTCAGAACATTATAATCATAAGTCTGAAGTGCCTCGCGGTCAGCTGCGTCTGAACTGTGCTATACAGATAAACCTGGCTAAACCATAGACGCCATAGTAAGTGTAAAGTCTTGTACCTCTCCAGAGCTGCTCTCCTCCTCTCCACAAACTCCACAGACGACGGATCGTCCATCCCCACCTTCACCTTGGTCATTCCTATAGGACACAGTTAGGTTAGCTCCCCTGGCTGTTATAGCTCCCCTGGCTGTTATAGCTCCCCTGGCTGTTATAGCTCCCCTGGCTGTTATAGCTCCCCTGGCTGTTATAGCTCCCCTGGCTGTTATAGCTCCCCTGGCTGTTATGGCTCCCCTGGCTGTTATAGCTCCCCTGAGTGTTATAGCTCCCCTGGCTGTTATAGCTCCCCTGGCTGTTATAGCTCCCCTGGCTGTTATAGCTCCTCTGGCTGTTATAGCTCCCCTGGCTGTTACAGCTCCCCTGGCTGTTACAGCTCCCCTGGCTGTTATAGCTCCCCTGGCTGTTATAGCTCCCCTGGCTGTTATAGCTCCCCTGGCTGTTATAGCTCCCCTGGCTGTTATAGCTCCCCTGGCTGTTATAGCTCCCCTGGCTGTTATAGCTCCCCTGGCTGTTATAGCTCCCGTGGCTGTTACAGCTCCCGTGGCTGTTATAGCTCCCGTGGCTGTTCCCGTGGCTCCCCTGGCTCCGTGGGTGTTATAGCTCCCGTGCCGTGGCTGTTATAGCTCCCCTGGCTGTTATAGCTCCCCTGGCTGTTATAGCTCCCCTGGCTGTTATAGCTCCCCTGGCTGTTATAGCTCCCCTGGCTGTTATAGCTCCCGTGGCTGTTATAGCTCCCGTGCCGTGGCTGTTATAGCTCCCCTGGCTGTTATACAGTGCCTTGCGAAAGGAATACTTTCGCAAGGCACTTCCTTTCGCCACATTTCAGGCTTCAAACATAAAGATATAAAAATTAAATTTTTTGTCAATAATCAACAACAAGTTGGACACAATCGTGAAGTGGAACGAAATTTATTGGATAATTTATACTTTCTTAACAAATAAAAAACTGAAAAGTGGGGTGTGCAATATTATTCGGCCCCCTTGCGCTAATACTTTGTAGCGCCACCTTTTGCTGCAATTACAGCTGCAAGTCGCTTGGGGTATGTCTCTATCAGTTTTGCACATCAAGAGACTGGAATTCTTGCCCATTCTTCCTTGCAAAACAGCTCGAACTCAGTGAGGTTGGATGAAAAGTGGGGTGTGCAATATTATTCGGCCCCCTTGCGCTAATACTTTGTAGCGCCACCTTTTGCTGCAATTACAGCTGCAAGTCGCTTGGGGTATGTCTCTATCAGTTTTGCACATCAAGAGACTGGAATTCTTGCCCATTCTTCCTTGCAAAACAGCTCGAACTCAGTGAGGTTGGATGGAGCAGTCTTCAGCTCTTTCCACAGATTCTGGATTGGATTCAGGTCTGGACTTTGACTTGGCCATTCTAACACCTGGATACGTCTATTTGTGAACCATTCCATTGTAGATTTGGCTTTATGTTTTGGATCATTGTCCTGTTGGAAGATAAATCTCCGTCCCAGTCTCAGGTCTGTTGCAGACTCCAACAGGTTTTCTTCCAGAATGGTCCTGTATTTGGCTCCATCCATCTTCCCATCAATTTTAGCCATCTTCCCTGTCCCTGCTGAAGAAAAGCAGGCCCAAAGCATGATGCTGCCACCACCATGTTTGACAGTGGGGATGGTGTGTTCAAGGTGATGAGCTGTGTTGCTTTTACGCCAAACATATCGTTTTGCATTGTGGCCAAAAAGTTCGATTTTGGTTTCATCTGACCAGAGCACCTTCTTCCACATGTTTGGTGTGTCTCCCAGGTGGCTTGTGGCAAACTTTAAACAAGACTTTTTATGGATATCTTTGAGAAATGGCTTTCTTCTTGCCACTCTTCCATAAAGGCCAGATTTGTGCAGTGCACGACTGATTGTTGTTCTATGGACAGACTCTCCCACCTCAGCTGTAGTTATCTGCAGTTCATCCAGAGTGATCATGGGCCTCTTGGCTGCATCTCTGATCAGTCTTCTCCTTGTTTGAGATGAAAGTTTGGAGGGACGGCCGGGTCTTGGTAGATTTGCTGTGGTCTGATACTCCTTCCATTTCAACATAATTGCTTGCACAGTGCTCCTTGAGATGTTTAAAGCTTGGGAAATGTTTTTGTATCCAAATCCGGCTTTAAACTTCTCCACAACAGTATCTCAGACCTGCCTGGTGTGTTCCTTTGTCTTCATGGTTCTCTCTGCGCTTTAAACAGAACCCCGAGACTATCAAAGAGCAGGTGCATTTATACGGAGACTTGATTACACACAGGTGCATTCTATTTATCATCATCAGTCATTTAGGACAACATTGGATCATTCAAAGATCCTCACTGAACTTCTGGAGTGAGCTGCACTGAAAGTAAAGGGGCCGAATAATATTGCACGCCCCACTTTTCAGTTTTTTATTTGTTAAAAAAGTTTAAATTATCCAATAAATTTTGTTCCACTTCACGATTGTGTCCAACTTGTTGTTGATTCATGACAAAAAAAATAAAATTGTATATCTTTATGTTTGAAGCCTGAAATGTGGCGAAATGTTGAAAGGTTCAAGAATACTTTCGCAAGGCACTGTAGCTCCCCTGGCTGTTATAGCTCCCGTGGCTGTTATAGCTCCCCCTGTTATAGCTCCCCTTGGTTGTTATAGCTCCCCTGACTGTTATAGCTCCCTGGGTGTTATAGCACTGGCTGTTAAGCTCCTCCCCTAAAGCAACACACTATGAAACAAATGCACTAACACTTCCATCTAGTGGCAGAAAATGGGAATTACACTCTGCAGGAGACTAGACTGAAAACAGACAATATTTTGGTTTTGAATGACAGAAAACAGCTCTGTCCACAGTGTACACAATATCTGAGGATTAAAAAGGATCATATGGATGGATGGACTGGAGGAGGAGTGTGATTGGACAGATTTGAGGCAGAAGTTATCATCTGGATGAGACTAAAAACAATGTCAGAGATTCTTTGCCTTTCGCAGTAAAACCACAGTGGAATACATGAGTGAGAGTCCCCAAAGTGCAGTGAAAATGAGCTAGTATAGTATATAGTAATTATTTGTGTATCTTATAAATGTATGCTGATTTTACAATACCTTCCTCTTTTCTCCATCTCTCTTCTTTTAACTGTTTGCACCAAGAGCCAAAGAAATGTCCTAGTCTGACTTCCTTTTACCGTTTTTTCCCCATTATTCATTGTTATTTTTATTGTGGAAAACTGTGCAAGCTCAAGTGGAGGAGTTCAAGTATCTCGGGGTCTTGTTCACGAGTGAGGGAAGAATGGAGCGTGAGATTGACAGGCGGATCGGTGCAGCGTGCGCAGTGATGCGGTCGCTGTATCGGACCGTTGTGGTAAAGAGGGAGCTGAGCCGAAAGGCAAAGCTTTCGATTTACCGGTCAATCTTCGTTCCCTCCCTCACCTCTGGTCATGAGCTTTGGGTAAATGAGCTTCCTCCGCAGAGTGGCTGGGCGCTCCCTTAGAGATAGGGTGAGGAGCTCAGTCACACGGGAGGAGCTCGGAGTAGAACCGCTGCTTCTCCACGTCGAGAGGAACCAGTTGAGGTGGCTCGGGCATCTGTTCCGGATGCTTCCTGGACGCCTCCCTGGGGAGGTGTTCCGGGCACGCCCCACCGGGAGGAGGCCCCGCGGAAGACCCAGGACACGCTGGAGGGACTATGTCTCTCAGCTGGCCTGGGAACGCCTTGGGGTCCCCCCGGACGAGCTGGAGGAAGTGTGTGTGGATAGGGAAGTCTGGGCGTCTCTGCTTAGACTGCTGCCCCCGCGACCCGGCAACAGATAAGGCGGAAGAAAATGGATGGATGGATGGACTGTGCAACGCAATGTCCCCGTGGATCAATGAAGTCCGTCTAAGTCTATTAGGAGAACATTAAAGCCCTTCATTTCAACAGTGCACTTTATAATCCACTTTATATATGAAGATAACGCCATCATTTGATAATGCGTCTTATTAGTGCGAAAATTCAGAATGTTATTATTAATATTATTCACTTTTAAGTCAGAGTTGCAGTGACTTGGCCTTGGACTATGGATGCGTGGCTCTATATTTGTATTGAACTGAAAAACTTTCTTCTTCAGACACTATAGAGATAATCTACATCTGTGAAACTGAATGTGTACATGAAGAGCAGCTTCAGGGACAGACTGATCCACCCTCGCTGTGTGAAGGAGAGGTTGCACAGGCCTCCTGCGGCTGTCAGACTGTACAATGAAAACTGCGGCCTCTGTACATGTCGTCTCATCTGTAAATAGTAAATACTGCAATCATGAGTAATACTGAAATTTCAGAACGTTCACTGAATTTACTCTCTTCACGCTTCCATATATGTATACAGTTTACATATACACACATATTGATATTTACTCGCTGCTATTAGGAAGCATTTACAGCAACTTTGGAATTTCCCCGGTGTCGGACCAATTTACAGTCTTAAAACTATAAAATATTTGAGGGGATTCATGAGTCACACAAACATGAAGCTGGAATAAAATCTGATCCGGAGTCAGTTCCACAGACTCACCCTGGTGGAGACTCTGTAGGCCACGTATGCGTTCATGCCGTCCGCTGTGAGAGAGAAGACGGTCAAACTATCATTGAGAGGACGGGGGCGGAGGTGACAGGAGCAAACATGTGCTGCTTTGGTTCAGTTTGGGTTCAATCATCCAACTTTCTGGATTCCGGCTCAGACACACATCATTACCATTCATTTGCAGTTTTGTAAATTGTAGATTATAAGGCCTTACATCGCCACCTATAAAATTCCAAACTTAAGTATTTCAGTCTACTTCTGGGATGAGTCTTATTGTCCTCCATGTTTGTAAAGTCGAGGGACATGAATCAAAATTGGTCTGCAATGTTAAGAATCGCTCTAATATTGAGTTGTGGCCCAAACATCACAGCACATTTGTTCCCAGTTCCCAGATCTATTACTGAGGTTTATTACAAGCTCAGTCAGATATATATGTTCTCTTCACAAACAGAGAGAGATCAGCAGGAATCGGCAAAGACTGAAATCCCATGGCGTCAGTTAGAGCCACATTCCAGCCTCATGGTTCCAGTGTTGGCTTCACTGTGACATCAGGAGAAAGAAGCAGAGACTGACCCACTTTCTCAGGACTGGTGACCGAGATGTCCACGTCAAAGCTGTCCTTGGCTTCTTCATCTTCCTCCAACTGTTGCAGGTCACAAGCAGAGTATCAGCAAAACAGAGACAGAGGACCTCAAACATGCGCCCCCTAGTGGACGTCCAAGTTAATGGTAGTTCGGCCTCCACTGAGCGTCTTTAAAACGATGTATAACACATTTGCAGAGAGATTTTTATCAGAAAAACAACCACAGCATTTATTTTTCCAAACACATTGAACCCTGAATGCAATAAGTAATAATTCAAGTGGACTTTGTTAAACCGAGTCTACAAAACAAGTCTCCAGTCTCTGTTTCGAGCCCAAACCTTTACTTTCTCTGTTAATGCAAAATGAGACCAGAGAGAGAGAGAGAAAAACAGAGAAAGAGAGCGACAAGAGAAAAAACAGACCAGAGACAGAGAGAAAGAGAGAGAGACCAAAGAGAGTGAGAGAGACAGAGACCAGAGAGAGAAAGAGAGAGAGAGAGACCAAAGAGAAAGAGAGAGAGACAGAGAAAGGAAGAGAGAGAGAGAGACCAAAGAGAGTGAGAGAGAGAGTGAGAGAGAAAGAGAGACAAGAGAAAAAAACAGACCAGAGAGACCAGAGACAGAGAGAGAGACCAGAGAGAGAGAGACCAGAGATAGAGAGAAAAGAGAGAGAGACCAGAGAGAGAGACCAGAGAGAGAGACCCGAGAGAGAGAGATAGAGAAGAGAGAGAGAGACCAGACAGAGACTGTACTTTCTCTACTGTTAATGTTAGAATGATAATATTCAGGTTCATTATACTTATCCCGGAGCTAAACTGCGTGAGCAAAGTAAAATAGCGTGTGCAGTTTTAGTGTTTCTGTCTCTGCGTGTGCACAGATCCACACTCCCAGATACACGAGGCCCCTGTAGATCGTTACCTGCTCCAGAGAGGTGTGCTGAGCGGGGGGGAAGGAGGGCGTGGTGCAGGGGGCGGGGCCAGAGCTGCTCACCTCCACACGGGCGTCTGCAGCCAATCAGAACAAAGGGTGTCAAACAGTCACAATTTTTTAAATCCATGTTAAATGGTAGAAAACTAAAAACAAAAATAGTGTCATGGAGGCCAGGATAATGTAGTGTAGACAACTTAGTATTATCACAAAGTGTGATGTCATGTTTTTATGATGAAAGTGAATCAAAAATAAAAGGTCTGAGATCAAGTAACAAATGTATGAAAGTGTGTGGACTTCAGCACGGAGCGAGCAGAGGGCGGGAGTGTGTGGTCAGAGAGTGTTCGGGCCTGTGTCTTGTCGTGTGTTGTGTGTGTGTGCGTGCGATAGTGTTGCGTGTGTGATTGTGTGTGTTGTGCTGAATGAGTGAAGGGTTGGAGCCAAATAAGCGTCTGCTTCTTTTCAAACAGTTTATTTTGTGTCTTGTTTTTATTTATATTGTTTTCTTTTGCATAACGTTTGAAAGAAATCCTTACGACTACTCGGGCTGGGCGATATGACTGAAAACGATATCACAAAATAAGTGATTCAAAGCGGTCAATATCGATTATTATTGGGGGGTTTTCTAAAACCTAAATAAATACATTTGTTTGTTGTGTCGGCTAACAGACGTTAGCAGCCCTTGTTTACAGTCACGGGGGAATGACAACTCAGGCTGAAGGCAAATGTTCATAAGCACAGAGTCCCCCATTGTCAGTCCTGGTTTAGTCCTGGTTTAGTCCTGGTTTAGCTCCTGTTCAGGCTGTTTTTGAGTGTCTTGTGTCCCTGTGACGGCTCCGTGCAGCTCTCTGATAGCTCTCTGATAGCTCTCTGATAGCCACACATGAGTCTCTGTGCCCTCTGCTGCACATGCGGTTCCTCACACGGACAGAACCATTGACACGGCCTGAAACACGATCTTTAGATCCATGGACGCTACACATGGTGCGGTCAGACTGTTGCGGTTGTTTGTTTTTTTGCATTTCCCAGAATGCTTTGCGGTTTATACTCGGCTGTGATAGGTTGAGAAGTCTTTGCCTACGTCCCCCAGAATGCCATGTGCTTCTGACTCTGCTTTACTTCCTGTGTTTTCCTGTTTTTGAAGTGAAGTTGAACTATCAAACATTCTATCGACCTTGTTTTCTATTGATATCGAACACGTGTCTATCGCGGTATATATCGTTATCGTTTATTGCCCAGCCCCAACTACCACTAATACTACCACTAATACTATCACTAATACTACAACTAATACTATCACTAATACTACCACTAATACTACAACTATATACACAATACTACACTAATACTACAACTAATACTAACTAACACTAATACTACCACTAATACTACCACTAATACTACCACTAATACTACACTAATACTACACTATACCACTAATACTACCACTATACCACTACGGACTGATCTGCGATCGCTGCTACAGTATGAAGAGGACAGTGTTCTTTCTGCCGTCATCTTTTGTTTAGACCCAGGATTGTTTGTTTTCTGTCTCAGATTGAACCCCTTTATTATTCCTGATGTGACGGGGTGAGCCCGTCCCTGAGCACGCTGTCCCACGGAGCGCATCTGAAGTTGCGCGCGCCCGGTGCCATGGTGGCTGCGCGCAAAGCCCAAACCCATTCATTGACTACTGGCAGTAAGGATTGTGTTTGTGACATGTAGCGTGCGGTAACGCGTCTTCAGGGCGCACACTAGTGATGTGCTGAGCGTGCCGGGTCTTCGAAGCGTGTACCGAGTAAAAAAGGGGCGTATTTTTTGAAGCGTGGGTCGAGGCTTGTGTTGGTGACGTATGTGGTGACGTTCGAAGCCTCGCGTAGCGGCCGCACCACGTGACGGTTCATATAGTGCTTCATATCGTTCGGAGAGTGCATTGCTTTGACAGGTGCTTTGTGATCCGCGGCTGTACCATAGACTGTATTGGCTGTCCCCGTCTGCCTCTGTGTGCGTACGTGTGTGTGCGTGATGTGGAGCAGTCCTGTACTAAGTATAGAGAAACTACTTCATATGAAATACAATTAAAAACGTTTCACTTTAGTAAAACCTCATATATCAAGGCTTCAAGTTATTAGTAATAATACGCTGGATAATACATTTCACAACAGCTGTGTGGCGCAGTCGGTATATGACGGACTCCGAAGCAGAAGATATAGCGTTCGAATCCTGGTCTACCCATAATACATTTTGTGTTGCAAAGTAAATGTATTTATTTATTGGGAATAAATTGTTTGTTGTGTTTAATTAATCCACCTCTGGGTAGTTTTTCCTCCATTAATCACTTTCTGTAGAACTGTATTACTTTGGATGTGTTTGTTGTATCAACACAATTGACTGAAAGACTCGAATAGTTCATAGTTCATGAAGCATCATTTCAAACACAACACGTTAGACCATAGATTGTAAATATACATTTTAACATTAGATCTCACCATTCATTGTAAGCACTTAAGAGTGTTATGTATTTTTTTGTCCACATGATGGCGTAGTGGAGCATGATTCACCTCGAGCCTTCGACTCATGGGCCGAGTAATAGGCTGCGATCCCTCAAGGCTTCATGGGGCTTCATATTGCCATCACTAGCGCACACTTGGGGCAGTTGCATCTAGTTACATGTGTCATTCACTCGCCTGTGCTGGCGTGGTCGTGGCGTCTCCGTGGTGCGTTTTGGCAAACCCGGACACAAGGAGCCATAGGATTAAATGCACCTGTCTGTGGGTCATGTGACCACAGATCATTTGCATGGACATTTGGACTCTTCGTAGTGTGTAGCTCAATGTATTTGATGATAAATGTGTCAATGTGGAACTGTAATATGAAATCATTAACCTACGGAAATACTCATGTAGTGTAGATATGATGTAATATTAGGATAATTGAATTGTAATGTGGGAGGGGCCAGCAGAGTACAAAACGTGTGCTTGTCTGCCCCATTTGGGGGTGTGACTCATTAAGGCGCGTTCAGACCAAAAGCTTCAAAAAGCTTTTGACGCGCTTCAACTGACGCCGGGATAGTTTTGTCATTTTGATGCTTGAAGCTTTTGACGCGAGTGACGCGCCTGACGCCGGTGGGAGGAGCTTCTCTGTTGTCTGTAGTCAGGACAGCGGTGGATTTGTCAATGAGCAGCGAGCCTTTATTTGTTATATAAAGTAGAATAACGTTGTTGTAGGGCTTCAACAAAACATGTTCTGGGTTCACCACAGACTTGAGAGGCTGCAGTGTTTGCAGAGTTCCGTCAGTACGGAGGAGTTTCGCTTTCAGCGGTACTTCCGCATGTCACTCGCCCAGTCTGAGTTCTCAAACCCCGGAGCTCGCCTCGCTCTCGCCTCGCCTCTCCGCGGCTCTCGCCCGCCCGGAGCTGCCTTGCTCTGAGCCAGACTCATCGTCAGCCTGTTCTTATTTTAAATAAACTACGTTTACTACACAGCATGTTTACAATGATTTTAGTTACTCAGAACGTTACTACTCATACAAATAATATTACTAATAACAATAATGACAATAAAACAGCAGCAGCATGACTTCTCTTCATGACAGAGACAGACCCTCTGCTGCTGCTGCTCCTCGTCTCCTGATTGGTTGAAGCCCGCGTCAAAGCTTCAAAAGCTCAGCTTTGCTCAGCTTCGGCGTCAAAGGGATTGTTGTGATACGCGAGCGTCAAAAGCTTCAAGTGAGCGCGTATTACGCGCGACCTTTGAAGCCTCCTCCTGGTCCCCGTCCTCAGGCTCTCTGTGTCCGGCCTCAGGCTCTCTGTCCTCGGGGAAGGCAGGAGGACCGCGCTCCGAGCTGCCGCTGGCCGCCATCTTTGAAAACAGCGGCGGTGACGTCACTTATTCCTCTTCTGTTTGATTTCCGGTTGCAGCGCGCGCCCGTCTGCACGATACTGCCCCCCTCTGGTTATGATCATTATTGCACTGTTCAAGTGGACACAGATCTGCAGCTACAGATATGTTCCTTCGTTTGTTTCCGACAAATACATTTATAATTATAATTTAAAACATGATACATTTGGCAGATACTTTGCTTTTGTGGATCTGATATTTACCCATAATTATTATAATATTTACAATTGTCACATAGTCTTTTGTAAGATTACCTTAAATATGAGTCTACCTTCTGTTCTGACATGTGTTTTATGATTGTGTTTTCAAATATAAAATGATTAGTTGGATTTAAAGCAAAAAACCTTCAGATGTTTGATGTTTCTGGATCCTGACGACAGAAATCACAGGGACTTTCAAATCAATGTGTGTTTGGAATTATTCATCAGATCAAAAACTTATACCTGATGTGAAAGATAGAGTGGTGCCCTAAGCAGAGCGGTGGTGGGTGTCGGGTTGGAGAGTGTTTGGGACTGAGACACAGGGACAGTTTGATCTGAGTGTCGAGGAATGAAGACAGAGGCAGGGAATGTACCTGTGATACGCTTTAATTTCAAATCCTTCCAGATCAAAGGAGACAAAGCTTTATACGTGATTTATGTCAATGTGTCAGAACAAAGACATACAGAGAGAAATGTTTAGCACAGGTACAGATAAAACAGAGGTCCACAGGTACAGAACATGCAGCTCCGACCCCACACCCGGAGCTTAGCACTGGTACAGAGGAAACAGGGGTCCACAGGTACAGAACATGCAGCTCCGACCCCACACCCGGAGCTTAGCACTGGTACAGAGGAAACAGGGGTCCACAGGTACAGAACATGCAGCTCAGACCCCACACCCGGAGCTTAGCACTGGTACAGACAGTTGATCCGCAGAATGTCATTGACGCTCAAACTGTCGACGAATCCGAACCCTGAGAAGGAAGGATCCAGAGCCGTGATGGTCGGCTGGTCGTTAGAGCTGAAGCTGAGGAAGAAAGTATAAAATCAGAATGTCCTGGAAAAAGACGTTCTCTCTCTCTCTGGTCTCTCTCTCTGGCCTCTCTCTCTGGTCTCTCTCTCTCTGGTCTCTCTCTGGTCTCTCTCTCTGGTCTGTGTGTGTGTGTGCATTTGTTTTCAACTCCTGCCCTCCCTGTTTTCAAAACTCTAAACACAAACCTCTTTTCTAAAGCTACGTACACACAACAACACAGTCTCTTTTCAAAACCAACCCATCACACCAAAACAGTGACTCATATTCTCTAAACCAACCCATCTCACCAAAACAGTGACTCATATTCTCTAAACCAACCCATCACACCAAAACAGTGACTCATATTCTCTAAACCAACCCATCTCACCAAAACAGCGGACTGATTCCCATGTGACCGGCGCTGACAGGACAATCTTTGGATGTGAGAAATGCAGCTGAACTATGTGAGCCTCTGGAAGTGTCCCCGTGTCTCCTGTAGCCCTGAAACTACAACTCACTAAATTAAAGCTGGGGTACCTACATTTCCCTTGCATTCATAAAGCATGTTGCTCCTCTCCCTCCTGGGTCTGCACCTTTCCCTCTTTGACCTGCGGCGGTTCTATCTCAGGCAGGGCGGACCCAGTGATTGGGGCACCTGTGCATAAATGTGTATCTTACTAACACTCTCTCTGCTCCCTCCAGGTACTGGAACTTTTATTCTTTGTTTTGTCATTTGTTAAAATTGGCTTTAGTTTCACACTCAGACATATACACACAATACACTGGTTTTCATTCACTGACCTGCACACACTGAACACATTCCACGGCTCACATACTCACACCTCATTCTTTATTATCTTTTGTTGTTGTCTTTATTATTTAAAATAACATATTGAACGACCACACCTGTCTGTCCCTCAATTTGTCACAGGCCCAGAGCCAGCTTGTGACAAAAGACACAACAAACCAACATCATAGAGTCACAACAAGGAACAGAAAAGTCAAACATGAAAATGAAACACTGAACAGAATGGATTCTTTCCCCAAACCAGGAGTTAAGACTGAAGTGAGATCCTGTAGAGTCTGACTCTGGGTTCACAGGATGCAGCCTCAGCTCTGTCTCCTTCACTTTGGTCCAGATGCTTCAGACCTGCTTCTCTACAGGTTTTAATGTGTTTAGTAAGAGATGAACCATGAGTAAAAGACTGTTCACACTTTTCACAGACAAATGGTTTCTCTCCAGTGTGAATCCTCTGATGCACTTTGAGATGATCACTCCGAGAAAAACTCTGACCACAATCGTCGCAGCTGAAGGATTTCTCTCCAGTGTGGATTCTCTCATGTGCTTTGTAGTTTGAAGAGTGAGTAAACTTCTTCCCACAGTCTCCACAGACGAATGGTTTATCTCCAGTGTGGATTCTGTAGTGCTCAGTGAGGTCAGATAAACGTGTAAAAGTCTTTTCACACTGGTCACATTGGTGAGGTCTCTCTCCTGTGTGGACATGCTGATGTAGTGAGAGCAGCTGTTTGGTCCTAAATGTTTTTTCACACTGGTCACACTCAAATGGTTTCTCTCCTGTGTGGATCCTCTGATGATCTTTGAGAGTACCCTCTTGTCTAAAACTCTGATCACAATCGTCGCAGCAGAAGGGTTTCTCTCCAGTGTGGATCCTCTGATGCATTTTGAGATGACTACTCTGAGAAAAACTCTGACCACAATCGTCGCAGCTGAAGGGTTTCTCTCCAGTGTGGATCCTCTGATGCACTTTGAGAGAACCACTCCGAGAAAAACTCTGACCACAATCGTCGCAGCTGAAGGGTTTCTCTCCAGTGTGGATCCTCTGATGCACTTTGAGATGATCACTCCGAGAAAAACTCTGACCACAATCGTCGCAGCTGAAGGGTTTCTCTCCAGTGTGGATCCTCTGATGATCTTTGAGATGATCACTCCGAGAAAAACTCTGACCACAATCGTCGCAGCTGAAGGGTTTCTCTCCAGTGTGGATCCTCTGATGATCTTTGAGATGATCACTCCGAGAAAAACTCTGACCACAATCGTCGCAGCTGAAGGGTTTCTCTCCAGTGTGGATCCTCTCATGTGCTTTGTAGTGTGAAGACTGAGTAAACGTCTTCCCACAGTCTCCACAGACGAATGGTTTATCTCCAGTGTGGATTCTGTAGTGCTCAGTGAGGACAGATAAACGTGTAAAAGTCTTTTCACACTGGTCACATTGGTGAGGTCTCTCTCCTGTGTGGACATGCTGATGTCGTGAGAGCAGCTGTTTGGTCCTAAATGTTTTTTCACACTGGTCACACTCAAATGGTTTCTCTCCTGTGTGGATCCTCTGATGACCTTTGAGAGTATTCTCATGTCTAAACTTCTTCCCACAGTCTCCACAGACGAATGGTTTTTCTCCAGTGTGGATTCTGTTGTGGACCTTGAGATCTTCTTTTGTAGTAAAACATGTTCCACACAGATCACACTCGTATGGTTTTCCTCCAGTGTGAGTTCTGTGGTGTCTCTTCAGATCAGAAGCAGAGCTGCAGGTCTTTCCACACTGATCACAGGTGAACCCCATTCTGTAGATGGACTTTGTAGATCTGCAACAAACACAACAACGTCAGATAATTCTAATATGTTTGATGGTGGTAGAAGTGAGAAATGATATTGTTCTCTTTCAACATCAAACATCGGGTTCTGCAATTAAAGCTGGTTGCTCCCGACCCATGGGCTACACCCCCCACCCTGTATAGGAGCCACTTCTACAACCTCAGTCCTGGGTCTACAGCCTCAGTCCTGGGTCTACAGCCTCAGTCCTGGGTCTGTCCGTGTGGCTATGAACAGATATAAACTATGACGTCATACAATGAACTTTAGAAACAGAAATAGGGAAATGTACAGTCTGACATAGGGGTGCGCTGGCTGATTAAGGACCACGACGACACATGTAGGATCACTGGTTGACTTTATCTGCAGTTCTGTATAAAAAAAAATAAAACAAATCCTCATGGTCTCTCCATATCACACGCTCGCAGTCCCCTCCTCAGACGCTAGGCGCAGACTGAACACAGCTAACACAGTGCATATACAGTACAGACCAAAAGAACACAATACAAAAAATACCATAATTACCGCTAATAATAACAATATTGCGTTGCACATACCTGTATAAAAGAAAAGAAAACACAAATCCTCATGGTCTCTCCATATCACACGCTCGCAGTCCCCTGTTAGCAGCTAGCTCTCACATGTGACTACATAAACTACCAGTGATGGGCAAGCTACTTGATTTATGCAGTTAGCTAAGCTACTCTACAATAAATTCAGCTTCACTTTACAGAAGCTACCACCCATAAAAATGCAGCAAGCTAAGTTACAAAATTCTGTCAAAAGTAGTTTGCTATATAGAAGCTACTTTCAAGTAAACAAACTGCAGTCTATGCAATTTTAGTGATAAATACTAAACTGTCAGTCAGAAAAAGGTTAAAATTTAGATATTTATAGAATAGCCCAAAACACCAACAACAAAAGACAAGAAGGCCCTTTGCAATTGTAAATAAAATACATTGAGAAATGATAGCAATAAGCCATTACAAATTAACATGTACTTCATTAGAAATGTTTTTTAACTGTTGTTTATAACAATAGCCCAATAAACACGAAACAAATGTGAATCCGAGCCAATTAATGGCTCTATTTAAGCAAGAATACCCTCTGAAACTGAAAAGAAAACACATAAGTTTACAAATGAACTGTGCTAGAACTATGTCTGACCAGTTTATGAAAACAATGGTAACATCCTACAGCCTTATTATCAGTCAGAGGAGCTTTCTCTGGGATTACAGAGTAGGATCTGAAAACATTTCTGTTCGCTCGTCTCCACTAAAGTGACGTGCTTTTGGAGGTATGGCCACGGTGAGGTCTGGACTCCACCGGGCGCGTCTCCGTTGACGCGCGTTGGCTGCTG